TTTTAGTGCTATTTAACGATAGTCTTTCTTTTACCGTGACATTAACAACATTTACGAGCACTTGAGCAACACTTCGACAGTGACAGTGTAGCCATCCACACATAATTCAGTGTCACTCCAGTATTTTCACTCTTTACAGCTAATTTCTCATGAACAGCACCTTCAAACCACTGACAGTGAGGTCTGTGGATCAACTGAGCGTCATTTCATTCTCCTCCTTTGCAATAAGGGAGTGGCAGAAATCTCAAAAGACTGGCATTTCCAAATCTGGCAACACAAAACCAAACATTTTCTGCATGACTTGACACCACTGGAGTTAAGTAAGGAGTAGGTTTATCCAGTCCGTACCGGTTATGAAATAAACTATAAATCAGGCTTTATTAGAGCCATAACTTTCACATAAACGGGAAGGGAGTCTTGTTGAACTGATAAAAGTGGACTGTTCCATCATGTTATTGCTCTAATTCCTGCTGAATGTGTCATTTGGTTGGTGATGAAAAGTTCAGCACAAAAACAATCATTAAGAGCCATAAGTCACTCCGATGGCCTGAGGGGAATAAGTGCGGTATTAGGTTCTGCAAAACCCTCCCGGCAGCCGTGATTTAAGAGGGCAAATCATTGCGCCACATCTGTAGGGAATGAACACTGATGCTGTATATTGTCTGATATGATCTGCGTCATCTCAAGGCAAAGCACTCGAGACATTTCCCAGACCACAAAATAAGAGTATTATCTCATGCAGCTAAACAGGCTGAGTGATTCATCTGGTCGGGGTCGACTGGAATTAGGTCACAACAACAAAGTCGCAAGCGTGGCAGCATCTGAGGAGCAGGTATGAGAGTTTGAAACACTTGAGATGCGGGCGTGATTCAGTTCAGCGGGATTCGGTGGCGTCTGCAGGTCACGGTCGCGTTTCATGCAGTCAGGAGCCTGACAGCGATGCCTATCTGTAACATTCCCGCTCAGATTCACCTCATTCCTCATTCCAAGCAATTCGGCTCGAGGAGAACTTCGGGGGGCACGTCTCCGCCTCAGATTTTCTCTATTCTCATTCTACAATTTTGCATCCTAATTAGAGATTACGCCAAACCTCAGCCAAAATACACTGTCTACACATAATTACCCAGCTTGAGGATAAACAGAGGGAGAAGCATTTCAATTACAACCGAGCTGAGTGAAGTTACAGCAGCAGGAGAGAGAGAGAGGCAGCGACGTCACAGCTCGCTATCAGACAAAAGGGGAAATAGTAGAAGTAAACAGGAAGCAAACAGGAAGCATCAGTGTCTGGGCAAAGGCCTCAGAGGCACTGTCATGCATTGTGAGGATGATCTGGCAAACTATCTTCTTTTAATCTAAACCGTCGCTCCTCACGCGGGCTTCTGGGGAAGCATGTTTGCATTTGTGATTCAACTTCCAGGGAGTTTTGATGAAAAGACAGAGTACAATACAATCAGGTACTTCAAGTGTGTTTACACGGTCGAGGGCAGTTTGAGGAGCGACCCATTGTGTTATCGCAGTTTCCATTCTTCGCCGAGGCAGCGTTTTAGCTCTATTTATAGTTACAATACAGAAACTTTTCAACGGGTGTGTGCTCCGAATAAATATATAAATGCAGATCTTTCAAGTGTGCACCCAGCAAGCGTATATGCGTGCACGTTTGTTTGCACGAGTTTTTGTTTTCAGCCACCCAAGCTCCGGTTTTAGTTTTAGGAGTCTTCTGTTTGCAGCAGATTATAGTGTATCCCGCCTGGGCACAGTGCTGACTGTTAAGACTACAATGCCCACAAATTAGCAGCTCTGCCTCTTTAAACTACAGAGATGGAGCCTGAGCATACCTTGTCGAGGCTGTCAGCAGGCACCTTGTGTGATCTCCCTCGACTCTTAGAGGAAATCTCATCGCACATACCTCATCTTTTAGACGCACTAAACACTGCTTTCAGCGGGAAACAAAAAAGTTAAAATGACCTACTTGGTTTAAAAGCAACGTAGCGTAGGGAAATATTTTCTCAGCTTATCTGACAATGGTGTTGATATTTATGGCTTTAACAGATGCGATGCTTGCAGGCGTTTGAATGCGTGTATATGCTGCCGCGTACGCTGCGTGTTTGTGTGTCTAAGTGTCGCGCAGCAGAGCAGAAAGGTCACTGCATCCTGAAACTGATGAATACTTTCCGCTTGTTTGCTGGTTGCTGAACAGACTTCTGGGAAAGCGCTCGAGCAGCACTTCCTTGGCGAGGTCAAGCTTTCCTGTGTGTTTATGTGAGTGCAGCGGGAGGAGTATTTTACACTTCACGGGACATCAGACACTCCGAATTATGACTTATTCATAACCCGGCGATGGAGGCGCTGTGTGGGTGAGAGGTCTCTGCCTCCCAGTTGCTTTTGATAGATATGTATCCTCAAACTGTCAGATCTTTGTTACTGCAGCTCGGGAGCCGCCGTCATAGATATGTATCATCAGCAACACCGACGGATCGTGGAGTCGCATGGTTCTTTCATGAAACCCTTACGATGCTGAGTTTGACTGATGCTACGGTAGATATGCTACAAGATGAAAGCCGGTGAGCAGTAATGTGCTTCTACATCTGATCTGAACCTGCTTTATCCCACACTGCTCTCCTGCCCTGACAAAAACCAAGCCTGCCACACAGCGTTATATGCATGTAGTCAAGGCCCGAAGCCAACCTACACACTGTTTTCCAACCTTCATTCAGTCGGCCAACAGGAACAACCTTGCTGTTATGAGACAAACTTTCTCTCGTGGAATTTAAAAATAAAAGATAAAAAAAAAAAACACAGTCGGTGAGCCAACATTCAGCCATGTGGACGACAGGTTTGGCGCGAAACCTGTTGGCCCGAGTTGCCTCTACGCCCAATAAAGTTCCTGCTAATGGAGCGAAACATCAGTTTGAGTCGAAGCCCCAGACAAAACAGCAAATACGAGGCATATGTGGGTCAGTCAAGTTGGCCGTTAGTTAGAGGAGGCCGCCGAGGAGTAAATCTGGAGTAATTGGTCTGCGATATCAGCAACAGTGCTGGTAGCATGCCAAGGTGCTGAGGTAATGAGTGCTGGCCACTGCACTCTGTTCTGAAGGGTGAAAGTGAATGAGAAATGAAGGTGGGTGGTTCAGAGATCTAAAGTACAGTTGACCCAGATTGTTGTGCAAAGGGACGGTTAGACGCAGACGTTAAGGGTTTGCACGAAACAACTACATTCTTGGATATGAATTTTAAAAAATCATAGGCGATGATGCTTTTGTTTCTCCGTAATGAGTCTGTTTAGAAAAGCATATCTGAGCCGGTAGATCAGGTGACCTCCAGGTTGATGTGGTGTGAGAGGACTTTATGAGCTAATTTTTCTTAACTCGCAAGATCGTGAACCAGAAACCTCAAACCGAGGCGATCTGCTCCGGCCTGGTCGTACATCTGGACCAGCCAGGAGGAAGGCCTTCAAACCAAAACCACATGAAAGGCCAGTTTCCACATCTTCAGGGCTGCACAGCTACTCAAACAAGATGTGGACGGTGGGCACTGATGAGGGTCCGGTTTCCTTCTGTATCTCCAGGAATCCGGAAAATAATAAAACCCCGTGAGATGCAAAACTACTACGATAGCAGTCAGAGCTGGGCAGGACCAAACGTATCCCGCTTTCATAAAAGAATGCAGCTGAGCTCGAGGTGAAGTGAGGCAGAATGAAGCAATGCAGAATATTGAGCATGCACCGCCCACACACCGGGAAAATACTACACCTTCCAGTCTTAATTTCACAATTCATTTACAGCTTGAGAGGCTTCATAAACAGCGCCATCAGTCAGAACAGAGACACTCGTGCCCTGCAGTGTTGACTTTATAACTTTCATCACTGCTCATTATTATCTTCAACAAGCTTTCTTCGCCTCCAGCAATCTGAAAAGCACATTTTTTTTCAAACTTCTGAAACCCAAACCGTCGCTACCATCAGATGTAGAGATACAACAAAGCTCTTCCAAACCAAAAAAAAAAAGAGATGAGAGAACTTAGACACAACACTAATGAGTTTTACATCACGGCTCCCTTTGACGGCCACACCTGAACCTATAGCCTCAGGGACTCAAACATCCACCTGCCAGTGTGCTTCATGTTTAACACGGAGACAAAGGAGACGCAGAGAAAGCCACGTAAAACATACAAAGCACCAAAGAGAATAAACACAGAGATGAGTTAGGCTTCTTTGGTTTACATGAAACTTCCTCAATTGTTCCAGATATTATGAAACAAGCAGCGCTGCTGTCTTTGAGAAGTCTACTTTGCTAACCATAACCATGTGAGACTCTGTTTTCGCTGCCTTCCATAAACAGCGAATGAAAGAGCATGTTTCCCATGGATAGGCTCGCACCGAAAAACTCGCGTCTCATAGCTGGAGCCAGTGAGTGATGGCCACCATCAAATGCATATTTAGCGCTGCGGCGTTATTTAGATTAAACATTAGAAAGCAATTCAAGCTGCGAAAAGTCGTTAAAAAGGATTCCCAGGCCGCGTATTTCATACACAACCAGTGGGCTTAAGGTTTCGATGACAATGAGAGGCCTGAAGAAATGTAAACAGCAAGTCAACAGTGAGAAGGCCTCCAGCAGCATGCCCAAACAACGGATCCCACTTCAGTGACGCACAAACACCAAAACAAATACACATTCATAAACTGTGAAAGGTGCCAGCCTGTGCTCACTCATCCAGGGTCTAATTGCATCAAAACGCATGACTTCCCCAGAGAAAAGTAGCAGCCAGGCTCAGTGGTGTGTGTGTGTGTGTGTGTGTGTGTGTGTGTGTTGAATAAATTCAGCCGTCTTCATCTGGTGAGACTCAACAAAAGGCCGCACAAAGACGTGCCGACACCGGCCCCCTCACTCACTCCCTCGACGCTCAAAGACACGCCACCGTCGGCCCAGAATGCGCTCCTTCATTCTCAAAGACAGGTCGCCGTCGTGGCCCCTAACCTATTCAATCTGTGCCCCTCACTCCCCCACGCTGACTCTGTTGTGGCCCCGCAGTTTGTGACGCACAAAGCCCCTCGGTGACCCTCATATTTCACTCGCACAAAGACAGGCATGACACGGCCTCGCTCTGCTCCTTCTCCAGTTTGTTTCTGAAAGATGATGGATGCAAACTTTTCCTTCTCCGTTTTTCTTCCTGTGAACTCTAAACTGTCACTTCTAATGTTAAACATCTCGTGGCTGGTTTAGCGCCTTAACTAGTAGCTGCTTCTGCTCTAGATCACTTTAGACATCAGTTTTTGATGGATGTAAACCTCATTCCAAATATGTGCTTTTGAGGAGCGACACTTCTGTGACTTCTGTGTGTAAATCACTGATAATGAGCGCTTCACTGTATTTACAGGACACATGACTGATCAGTTTACTTGTCAGTGAAATCACTACTTAGACAACAGTTCAAGGAGGCAGCTGTGCCTTCTAAGAATCAGTGAAGGACAGTTTACAATTTCCAAGCTGACTTGTGCGCTCTGGTCTCCTCCTAAAAGGAAGAAACAACAAACAATTCTCAAACCTATAAACGCACGACAGCATTCAACCCAATAGAAAAAAAGCCTTTTCTACTCCTTCTACTTACAAGTCTCTGAAGCTCTTTCACTTTCTGCTCATGTGCTGAGGATGAAATTGATCGGGCTGCCAGATTGGTTACAGTTCGGTATAAATCTCAATAGATCCACTTGATATGCAGCCGCAAGACAGTTTCTGGATCAACTCAGAAGCTTGTTTTACCACTAATGAAAAAAGAAAACTCTCCCTTTGCCATCACCATCTGACTGCTCCGTCCAATGACACGTAACAAGTTTGCGCCTGTCAAACCTCATTCTAGGAAAAGAAGGCAGGTTAGGGCGACCGCACTGAAGCAAATCACCGCATAACTGCATCATAAAACAACTCCTGGAATTTGCTGAACATCACAAATGCTGATTTGTAACTGCAGAGATGTTTTTTCGGGGGTGGCCAGATTAGGCCCTGACGATGAAAAGCGCCTTTCTGACAGCGCTTTCATCATTTCCCTGCAGTTTGCCCTTGAACTCGGCTTGGATAAACACTGCAGATGTTCCTGGTTTTGTTTAGTTTATGATGTAGTACCACTTCCCCTCTCGGCTCAGTGTGTATCAGGCGGAGAGCTCCATGGGTGGCTCTAAGATGGACCTCCTCCTCCTCCTCCTCCTCCACTTCAAGGACATAGGGGTTGTGGTGGGAAGAGGGAGAGTGAGTGGACATGTGTGAAAGACAGATGAGGAAGCTTTAAAAATAACATTTAAAAATATAGAGGTAATCTCTCCAAATGTGATGTCCAACCGCTCCCACATGTTGTGTCTGAGCGGTGCGGCCAGCTGCACATAAATCACTTTACATTTCTTTCTTTAGATGCGCACACAGCTCCACAAACATGTCCAAACATCACCATCAGCTCTGTGCATGAGGGATCAATGAAGCATGCAACCTTCACTTCCTTCCTGAGCATTGCCCTGCAACTGAAAGCCTGACACAAGGAATCAATTGCACTCGTGTGTGTGTGTGCAAATCCACTCAATAACAACAATGTCAGCATTCACACACACACACCCTGCAAGACAAAGTTAAATTGAAGTGTTTCCTCGTTGTATTGTCTTTCTACTTACGCAAACGTGCAGAGAGTTTTGTTTTTTGCAGAAGGACTTTTGAAAACGCTGCTCCGTTCCCGGGGCCGCCCAGCTTCTCCGAGCGCTCATTCACTGCTCTCTGCTTTCTTCAGGACGTCGCTCTCCTCTCCTTCTCCTCTCCTCTCCTCTCCTCTCCTTCTCCCTCCCACTGAGCCATCCCACCGCCGTCCGACGTCGCCCCTCCCTCCCCCGGCTCCCATCCCCCCTGAGTCCGGCCGTGCGTCCGTGCGTCAGGCAGAAAGGAGAAGAAAAGTTGCAGAGATGATGTGAAAGATGATGAGCGGTTCCTGGATTCTCTTCCCATAAACGCGTCCAGGGTGATTTATTCACGCCTTTCTTTTCTTTTGTCCGTGTCATGAGATTCAGGAAGTCTTCCTTCTGCTTTAGGAGGCTGCAGCATCAACAGTCAAACACACATAGCAGCATAAATTAGGATATTAAATCAATGAAATATCCAGATTTGCTTTTTCTCATTGGGTAATGAGATTTGGACTCATCTCCAAAAGTTTGCACATCAACCCACTGGGTTAAACTCCATAAATACTATTTAAATGATTCATTACATTACTTTACAGTGAGCTGTTGTTTGCCATGGCTGGATCACAACAGCTGGTTATATTTGGCACAGCTGTACGCTTCACACTCCATTTAAACTGAACTGGACTTCAGACTTGATTTGGGCTTGAATCCCTAAAGACTAAATTTGGATCTCTAAATACAAACAAACAAACAAAAATCCGGTTCAGATTGACCTGGCAGCTTCAATCTACCTGGTGTTCTGATTTCATGTTGCTCAATGTTAAAAGGTGCTGTTACACTGGTCTGCACCCAGTTTGGTGTCAAAGTGTTTTGAGCTGATTTTGGACAACTGCAATGTGCCGAATCTAAACATTGCATTGGTTTTGCTCAATGAGGTCAACATTTGGATTTGATGAAACTTGCAATTTACTCGTATTTACCTTTACAAATGTTTACGCTCATCAAGTTTTGATTCATTTGAGAAATACTAAAATAAATCAATCGCTAATGTCAAAAAATGTAATCGATTTAGTGGCAAAATTGATTTTTTTTTATCGAGTTGGCATAAAAACCAGACCTGATACAGAAAAGCAGATGTCATTTTTGGATTCAGAGTTGCAAAAATGTCCTAAATCAGTTAAAAAAAAAAATCCTAGACACCTTCAAAAACAGATTTTTTTGTAACCTAGTGTTATAAATAAAGTTATTTTTATTGTTCTTTTTCTTTTTGCCATCTGGTGGAAATGTCGGTCTGGCACAGCTGCACTCAAACACTGAATTATCACTCACAGAGAACGGGGTCCAAGCCGTGGTGAAAACAAAACTGTTAACACAGCTGTGAAAGGAAAATCTTCAAAAAGCTGCGTCGTAAAAATAGTCAGCTTTCAGATACCTGAAACACCATTCATCCATGTTCCTCTGGCAATCCGGTGTTGCGTTGCAGCGGCAGCAGGCAGAGCGGGACATTTAAGATACCCCTCTTCCCAGCAAGGTTTTCCAGTTCCTCTTGGGGGATCCCATGGGGTTCCCAGGCCAGATGAGAGATATGATCCTTCCAGAAAGTTCTGGGTCTAACCTGGCGTCTCTTCCAGTTAGACGGAAAGCAGAAACCCTTCAAAGGAACCCAGGAAGCTTCCTAAACCGAGGCCCAAACCACCGCAACTGGCTCTTTTCAATACGAAGGAGCAGCTGTTCTACTCTGAGTTATCCAAGCTCCTTGTATCCACAACCTCAGTCTTTACTTCACTATTCAGAGCTCATGAGGATTAAAACGTAGATCAGCTGCTAACTCAAGATCTTCACCTTCTGGGTCACATTACTGCAAACCCTGTCCCAATCCTTCTGTCTGTCTCACGGTGCAGTTTCTCACGACTCAAAAACACAATCCTGGGATTCTTAAACTCCTTCACTTGGGGCAGAAACTCAACCCAAACCCAGAAGGAGCAATCCATCGGCTTCAGGGAAAGATCAATGGCCTCAGACATGGAGGTGCTGATTCTCATCTCTCAACTGACTGCAAACTCCCCCGGTGTGTGCTGAAGGTCACGACCTAATGAAACCAACAGAACCACTTCAAAACCATCTTCAAAAAGCTGAGTTGTGGCTTTGAGGTATCCAAACTGCACACCCTCCTCATCCTCACTGTGCAACACAAACAGCATCACAGACAACCTTGGCTGAGTCCAACACCCATCAGAAACTTTGTGCCACGAATACAAACCTAACTCTTATTTGGATTGTACAAGGACCGGATGGCTCGTAGCAACATCCTCGGTACCTCCTTCAGTCCCCAACATGGGCAGGACACCATTGTAGGCCTTCTCCAAGTTGACAAAACAACCGTGGAATAGATGGTTGAACCATCTCAGCAACTGCTTTAGGGTGAAGAGCACATTTCTTCTCTTGAATCTGACGTTCGATAATCTGTCTTCTAGCATCCTAGAATGAACTTTCCTGGGGAGGCTGGGCAGTATGATACCCTCCAGTCCCTGTTATTTAAAATGGAAACCACCATATCAGTCTACTACTCCACAGGCACCTTCCCCGACCTCAGTATCTGAAAAACCTACAACAGAATTGCAATTTGTTTGTGAGGATTTGTGATCCTGACTGGATTTATCCTTCAAGGAACAGCTTAACAGATGAAATAGCTACACCTGTGTGCTTTCTTGCCATTAGAGGACTGATATCACAACACTGGAAACAGGTGGAATCAGCTGCCTGTCCAAAGCCAACAAAATCTGCCAAGGAATAGTCTATTATACCCTGTAAACCCACAACATGTCACTTCTAAACTCTGGCTTTTATACAGACTTCAGCGTTGCTCTGATCATCACGTTAAATTCTTGAACAGAACGTTAAAAAAAGCTCATTTAGCAAAAAAAACGTTGAACTCTAAGAATTTGGCGATGTTCTAGGAATGCCTGCCAGTGAGGGACAGAGAACCACCTTCCTTGTTTTCTTCATGGAAAGCTCCAGAAAAGATTTCCCATCATGAGCTTCCCTCTGTGTCCACCCCTGTAGTTTGAGCTGCAGACATAAACCACACTTATTACACTGTGGTATGTGGAACTGTGACAACTCAGGGAGGACTGTCACACTGGGACCATATGAGCATTTTAGAGGGGGGCAGATGCACCGCAGGGGGGTGGGGGTAGAAACGCTGGATGACACTGGGCCCCAAATGCATGTTTTAAAGAATTGTGTGGCTTGTAAGCAGTGTTCAGCGATGACGGTGATGAACTGCTTCAGGAAGTCCGTATGGATTTCATGCAGGCTTTCTGCATATTTGGTTGGAGTCGCTTAAGTCTCAGCATTGCATATTCATGGTTTTAGTTCATGCAAGATGGACATTGTGGTCTTTTCTCATGTCTGTGTAGGTACTGGCTTAAGAATATTAATTAAAAATTGTATTTTCTTAACTGCAAGTCTGTTTTTTAATTATCTTTTGAGTTCCAGGAATCCAAGCTAATCAATAAAAGCAGCATGTACTATATTTTCTACACTGTATTTATCATTTATTGTCTTTTCTATCTTAAGAAACACACAACACACTGCCTTTGTGTGTTCCTATAATTAGCCCAGCCTTGGTATAATTTAAAACACGACTGCGACACCCCGAAGACTGATAATCATTGCACTTGCTCGGTTACTTTGGTTTGGTCTTCCATGGCATAACTCTTGGTTTTTTTTTTAGAAATTCTGGCTGAAAATGTGCACCCAAATCCAATAAACATGCTTCAGCCAATGCAGAAGCTAAAAACAGCCTGTGTTCGACTTTACACCAAGCAATTGTTGAGTTTGCATGATATGTAAAAACTGCATAAATGCTTCTTAGTGCATCGCAATAACCCTGCAATGGGCTAAATGACAGGTTTTTATTTTTAGTGACACCATAAAGCATCGGTAAGTTTGTGCCCCTAATCCAATTAGCTTTTTGTGTGTTTCACGTGTGTCATTATGCCATATTTGTTGTTCTTTCTTTCTATATTTTGCAACGTATGTGACGACGCAACTTCACCACAACGGTATTTACTGCATTCCTGCTGCATGCCGTTTCTCTCATTTTGTACAAGCCGTACACAAAACCTAAACTAGCCCTGCATCTCCTCTTCCCAGCCTGTTAACACCAGCTTTCATTTCCTCTCTGGGATGCTGCAGTGGGAGTCTTTCTTTTTTTTTTTTTTAAGTGCAGCCCTTCACGCCGCCCTCCTGACATTCTTCACAGCCTCAAGCCTACTCGGCAGTTTGTCTCCTCGCTCACACGATGCCCCGGCCGAGCCGCTGTGTCATTTGCTTGGCGCTGCCTTCAGGACTTCCTCTTTCCACACCAGCGCTGTCTCTGTGTGTGTCGTCCTGGTGAGAACACTGTGGGAGGCAGAGCAGTCTGTAAATAGAAAAGTGTGGTCGCGACAGAGTTCTGGTCTCAGAGGCAGGAAGATGTTCTTAGCTGCAGGGCAACTCCATGGGAAACGCAGACAGGACTTGAGAGACACTGGTGGAGATAATTGGGTTTGATGGTTAGTGGCTGCGGGGAGGAAGTCATGATGATGCCATTCTTGGTGCATGTGTTTACTGATTTGAATGTGTGTAATTGTGTTTATTTGGTAGGGCTTTTATTGTGCTGATTCTAAAACTATCAATAGATAAATCATCCCAGAAGTTAAGATCCAAGCGGTTGTGTTTCTAATAAGTTCCCAATAAGAAGCTGCCTGTGTGTGGACTTTGTATGTTGTTAAATGGCTGAACAAAGCTGCTCTGGTGTTTCGTTTTTGGAATTTGATTATTATGGGAGCATATGAGCGTTAACAGATAGTCTCATATCGAGCCGTTATGTATATTTAAAGAATATGGTTTCTGAGTTTTCAGAACATAAGCAACACATCTTCAGTTACACACGCAGATACCGAAAACTTCCCACATAAATAAACACAGCTGTAAGCTCACGGATATCTTAAACCAGGCTTCACAGGTGGACAACGCTTTATTTGAAGAGGAGACGAGTCAACGAGGATGGGAACCGAAGGAGCAAAGGAGAAGCACGTCGAGTCTTGACTGATTGAGCTGTTTGGGTAATGG